ACTGATAGGTTATTATCAGCAGGTAATAGGAAATGTGCACCATTAGAAATCGTCATATGGTGTTTCCTGCTACTGTAGATGAGAGGTGTCTTCCACGGCAGCACTATGTGATCACATGGAGATTGGTGTCATTACGGCTGGGATAAATCACATCGTACATTTTTAATAGTTAAACAATTATCTATAGTGGCAGGACTGGAAAATTGTTTAGTGATGACTGGCTGATTTTTATGATGAAGAATAATTTTATGTGAATCTTTTTATTTAAATACCCCAAAGAGCTCAAAAGAAGAATATTCATTTTAAAGGCATACCTGGGCACTTTGGGGGGTTGGGGTGCTCATTTGTCTTTAACTGCAAATGCATGGAGTTCAGCAAACGTCAGAAGAGCTTTCCACATGTATTTTTAAAGTTTGATATTTATGTATAATAATTTCTATTATGTAAAGATATTGTGTAGATGGGATAATGAGGCAAAAATTAGCATAGTTAAATTTAAGCCTATCAAGAGGTTTTTCATTTTTATAGACTAGAAGTAAACAAAGTATGGTTTAGCCTATGGAATGAGGGAAATGTTTCTTTATCCTTGAAGAGCTAAGCCTCTAAGGCTTTCCCCCTCCTCTGTCTTTTTCCTTTTACTTTATTCTTTGTCATTCTTCTCCAGCTACTGCTCTTCCAATGTTCTTCAGAACTTAGCTCAAAATTTACCATGTGTAAAAACCTCACCTTGACTGTCCCAGCTTATCTCTACCCCTTATCTCTGCTTTAGTAGGCTTTTCCCTTTCATGGTTAAGTTTTACAGCCTTCTTTGTGAGAACTTGAAAACCTTCTCAGTGTCTGTCTTCCCAACCAGACCATTGCAGTCCAAGTTATAAAAATGCTTGCTCCTTGTCTTTGACTTGACAAGCTTGCATCAGACTGTCAAGCAAACATGGCACTAACACACATTTGGTTTGCCTGACACTTTTTTAATAGCTAGACTTAAGAAGGAATTACTGTGAGCTTTAGTCATTGCAAACTGACACTTCCGTAGCCCTGAACTAGGCTTTATGGGTGTTGATGGCAGCTAATTGTGTTGCCAGTGGTATGGGAGGGAAGGTACAGCCTGATTGTAAGGGATGATGTGCTGCTTATGGTGAGATGTAATTTTCACAAAGGGAATAAGTGCTCATAGAGGACCAATGTATTTAAGTACTTGGTGTATGGTAAGGTTTGTTCTATACTCTTTGTATGAATGAGCTCAATTAAATTTCGTGATAACCCTATGAGGTGGGTACCATTTTCCTACTCTACAGGTGAAAAACCTGAGGCACTGAAAAATAATTACCTTGACCTGATTCTTACTGTTAGTTGCTAAGCCACATAATGATTCTAGATCTGTCTGAAATTGAGTTTTGTATTACATCTCAATCCATGCTGTCTAGTGGAAAATTCAACACTGATGACAAGGTTCTGTCACTGCTATGTCCCAACATGGTAGCCACTAACTCTTTCTGGCTTCTCTGCACTTAATGGCAGTTTCAAATAAGGAAGTGGATATCTAGTTTTATTTTAACTTAATTTGCTTGTACATTTAAATAGCCATGTGGAGCTAATGCCTACTGTATTTGACAGCAAGGCTTTTAAATATTTTAAAATATTGCTAACTAGAAGACTAGTAAGAGGAAAATCTGAAGAGAATCCTTGGAGATAATGAAGTACCCAGCAAAACCAAACTTAAGGGGCTGAGTATTACATGAACATGGTAAAGAGGAGAATGCAAAAGAGAACAGAATTCTAAGGCTGATGGCTGTGTCTAAGATCAACTTGCAAACGTAACAAAAATTTTCTCAAGACAAATCTTCATGGAGATTCTTTTTACTCTTTTTGTTATACACTATAATAGAAACAGATCAGATAAGAGATTGTTAAGAGACTGTTGAAAGTGAGTTTGTCCCAGGTCATAATAGAAACATATGGTCTTATAACCTTATGTGTGAATTTTGCCACATTAAGCATTGTGCCTGGGGCTGGGGATTTAGCTCAGCAGCACAGTCCCTCCTGGCAAGCCCAAGGTCATGAGTTCAATTCCCAGTACTGGGGTGGGAACAAAAAACAAACAAACAAAACAAACAAACAAAACAAACAAACAAAAAAAGCATTGTGCCTGTTTTATTAATTTGTTTTGTTGGAATCCATTTCTATGTTTTAGAAAAGTAACAGCATTTTCTTCTTCATTAATAAGAATTTGCTTTAAAAAAATCTAAAATCCTCATGTTTATATTTGCCTTTATCTGTTTATTGAATTTATTTAATACATGAATCTGTAAATTTTTTAAAAATTGAGTTTTGGAGGCAATGAACTCAAAAAAGGTTGTTAATAAGTGGGGGAGGGCAATGGAATATAAATAAATACAAAATGTTGATATTTTCCAAATAAACATTGATTCTCTTGTTTCCCTATCACAAACGGTACCTAAGGTTTATTTATGCTAATTCAGAGACATTTGTGCAGCTCCTAGCCCTGTGCTCCATTTGTAGCTATCCGGCTGAAAGAGTCTCAGCTCCTGTAGTAATAGCATCACTTTTAGTTTCAGTTGCCCTTCCGTACCCTGCATTCTGTGTCAGTGACTTCAGCCAATCATGGGTGTACTCCTCAGTTAAGGCTACGACAGTTGCATCTGTACTGAACAAGTATAGACTTTCTTCTTGTCCATATTCCTTAAACAGTCCAATGTGACAACTGTTTACATTGCACTCATACTGCATTAGATATTATATATAATCTAGACCTGACTTAAATGATGTGTATAAGTTATATGCCATTACTACTCCATTTTGTAAGTGACTTTAGCATGAGTGGATTTATGTATTGGGCAGAGAGGTGTCCTGCAGATCCTGAAGGTGGATTGCATTTTATAGTCTAGCCTTTCTCCATGTTTTCCATCTTAGATTTGACCCATGGGATCAAAAGGAGGAAAAGAATGTGTTCTACTTTGCCTGCCTGCTGGCATTTTCTTGGAGGTTGGAGACAGAGGGTAGCTTAGGATAAAAGGGTTGGTTATGTCTTAACCTAACTAGGCCAACCATTGGTGTCTTTGAGGGGGAAGCTTCCAAATGTAGTGTCCTTCAGGCCATGTGTATGAATTCTTCCACATGCCTATAGTAGCCTCCACACTGATCCACTGATCCACCTCTGCTTCCCGACTCAGTTCCTTCCTCTGGTCCTATAGATCACCAAATCTGATTGCTTAGTCCTCTTGTAAAGAAGCAGTCTTAATTCGGGGGAAATTCACACATCTTTGCTGCATCAAACACTAAAAACAAAGTCTACAATTTTCTCATTTCTCTTTTAACCTTTGAATACTTAGGTTTAAGGGCTGATCAACTATCCTTGCTGACATGATGTCCAACTAGGCTTATAATAGTCTCTACTGGACAGCTGGGGCTGCTATAACAAAATACCATAGAATTAGTGGTTTAAACAATAAGAATTAAACCACAATAAGTGGTTTAAACAATACTTCCTATAGTATTGGAGGCTGGGAAGTCCAGCAACAAGATGGCAGCTGATTTGGTTTCTGGTGAAGGTTCTCCTCCTGCCATGTGGATGGTTCCTTCTTGTCATGTCCTTGTGTGGAAGAAAAAGAGGGAGGAAAGGAGAGAGGAGGATGGGAAGGGAGGGGAGGAGAGGACACAGATGCAGAAGCACCAGTCTAGCTCTTTGGTGTCCCTTCTTATATGAACACTAATTCATTAGAAAGTCTCACTCTCATGACCTCATCTAAGCCTAATGATTTTCATGAAGTGTCATCAAGTAAGATTGTCCTGTAGATTAGGGTTTATGATACGAACCTGGCTTGGGGAGGCACAGTTCCATCCACGAGACAGTTCATCTTTTGGATTGGTGGGAAGGTAGTAGAAATAGGAAGGTTTATTTCCACTTCGGAGTTACCCTTGGAGTAGATGTCTTAACCCAGCTACAAAACCCTCTTTAGAATTTTCAGCAACACAGTGTTTATTTAACATTGATTTCTACGCACCAGTTGTAGGGCCAGAGTAAAGTCATATTCAAAAGTCTCTTAAAATATCATTCTCCCTCATGTCATTGAATTCTGAGCCTCTGAGACTAGCCTTCTTTTCTTCTGTCGGTTTCTCAGTGAAGTCTTTCCGAGTCCCACATCTTCCTCGTCCCTATGGAATTCTTCATACTCTGTCTTCATTCTTCTTTTAAAGCATTCAGAGCATTATTCAGTTGTATGCAGATTTTTCTCCACTGATAGGTGAGTTTCTTAAGGGTTAAAACCAGTTATGAGAGCACAGAACATAAGTTCTTATACACAGTAAGTTCTGACCAAATATTTTTTAAATAAATAATTCAGGAAGAGCTCATATCACAGATATGTGCAGATAGAATTATGACACTTTTGTTGTTTGAAATTACATCAGGTTTGACCTACCTCGGTGACGGTCGTAACTAAGATTATCTAAGACATATTATTACTATTATTATAAGTTCCTCAATATTATCAGACATACTGAAATTTGACTCTTAATTTATTTATTTTCTAAAATAAAGGTTATACTACTTTTTAAAAATATAGGAGGTATATCATTTTAAGATTTTTTTATTGCCATAAGCTACTGACATATATTAATTGCCTTAAAATCACATATACTTTGCAAAGAGATAGTGTTTATAATTTTTGTGCTTCATTGCTAAGTATCTGAGTGGACACTTTGCTGTGTTACTGTGTGGTAAAAATGAAATGCATTTCACTAGGGAACTATATGAAGAATTACAGTTTATGGTCAACATGGACGTGAGTTAAAATTTAGGAAACTCTGAAGATTTTAGAAGAGATTCAACCAAAAAATTCAGTCTTGACATTTGAAGCTTTCTCTAATCACTCCTGTTATTTATAGCTTGGTGAGGTATGTAGTTAGCCAGACATCTGAGAATGACCGGATTATTTAGCACCCAAGTTTGATGTTTTTATCCGCATATTTGTTGCCTACAGAAGCCAACCTCGTGTAGGACCACTTGGTTCTCTGCAGTGATGTCTCATTGTGTTCCATGCTGGTGACATAACACAGAGCCTGAAGCCCATGTCAGCAGATAGCCAGCCTCCCAGAGGTCATGTAAGTAATGTTTTAAGATCATATCACACCATGCAGACATACTTTTACATAACAGAAGTAATAATAAGTAAGATGTGGCAAACCACAGTAAAGTTGTACATGATCAAAATTTTAAGAAAATGAGCATTATGGTTGAAAAAGAAAATGCCATTCATTTATCATATAAATCATTTTTCCAGGATAGAGCATATTGCATATAACAAAAGTGGGCAAAGTGGTTTTTTTAAAAAAAATATCCAGATAGGAAATATTTTAGGCTCTGCAGTCCAAATGATTTCTGTCACAGCTAGTCAACCCTGCTCTGTCGCTAGAAAAAAACTGGGTTTATGGATGGGTATGGGTGGTCCCACTAGAACTTTATTTCAGAAATAACTAGCAGGTGATATTTGGCCCATGGATCATATTTTGCCAGTGCCAGGCATATAAGATGAAATTCTGCATCTCACTCTCTGCTACAGCACTAGGCTAATTTTGAAGGAGTGGTTTGCTTCAAATTATATAGCAAATGCAGTTCAATTAGCCAGCTTCTGAATTAGCTTGCTGATGTATGGAAATTAGAGAAGAAATGTAAATGAGATTGTTTAATGACCAATTGTAATTTCTGAGAACTATTTGAGAACACTGTAAGACGAAGTTCAGTCTCAAGAACTAAATACAACAAAGCTACAAAAATAGAAATCCATACATTTCACAAGTGCACACATTCCATCTTCAGTTTCTGTTTCTATGTAGCTCCTTCAGACAGAATTTTGTAAGCTGTGTATAGGTCAAGATGAACAGTGCAGAAAGTAAGAGATTTTACAGAAACCGAAACTTCTTACAAGAAGCCTAAGGAAGAAAAGGTAGTTCCACTCTAGCTGAGTCATTTTTGGTGCCAGAAAATAATAAAGGAAATAAAAATTAAAAGGAAAAAGTATGAATAACATACCCTTTGTCAGTGGTTACCCATAAACAAAACTTACCCTTTAACTTCGTGGACTTCCTTGAAACCATTCTATTTCCTAGAAATTTCACTAAGAATTCTCCAACTGAAGAACCAATTTACTGGCAGTCTTTTGGATATGTGTGTGCCAGGGGTTGTTACACTGAGCATAACGAGGGCACATGATGCAGAATAGCATTTTGGATGTGGATTTTAATCGATAGTAATATAGTTCTGAATTGTCCTGTGACCCTGAGATGGTGATGAAAATGACGAAGCATTATTTCAGAATATTCTATAACGATTAATTTTGGGGTGAATAAGTTATGGCAGGGGAATTTTCTTGAAATTATATCATCCCTGGGATATGTGAGAAATTTAAACCGGAATTTCCTCTGGTATGCCAGTAGAAGCCATAAGAAAAGTCTTATGTGCTTTGTAGTTTTCTTTTTATGAATTTTCTTTGATCCCTGGAGTTCCAGTTTGGGTCTCTGTATTGGTCAGCTTTCCTATTGCTGGGACAAAATACCTGACCCCCCAAATTTTTTTTTTGTTTTGTTTTTTTCGTGTACCAGGAATCGAACTCACAACCTTGGGCTTGCCAGGCAGGCACTGTGCTGCTGAACTAAATCCCCAGCCACAATTTAAAGGAAGAGATGGTTGTTTGGGTCATGGGTTCAGTTCATGGTCTCCTGGCTCCAGGGCAGGAACATTATGGCAGGGGAAAGCTGCTCACTTCATGGCAGCTGGGAAGCAGAACACAGGGAAAGGGAGCTGTCTAGCGATGCGGAGTTACACCCCAAGGCCCCACCTTCACCGACTGCGTCCTCCTGGGCCATGAACATCTGGGGTGAGTCACACATGTGTACGGTGCCTTGAGGACTCAATCAGTTCTCCAGGAGTCTCTCAGCGAGGCAGACTGACAACTAAGATTAAGTGGCACAACTTCCTTTGTTGGGTGCTGAACACCAGGGGTGCATTGATTGGTTATTTTGTGGTGAACAGTGATGGTTTTCCCGTCTGATGTAACAGGGAGCTGAATTTAGGTGAGGTAGAACTAGAGGTCTCAAGTGTCTAAATTTCCATGGTGAGAGCTTGTAATCAAGTGTAATTCGCTCCATACTGACCCCTGCTGTTACTGTAACAAGGGCCCAGAAAGGTGCAATTCCTGCGGGCTCTTTCCTCCAAAGCAGCTTTTATTTTGACTCATGGACTGGGAAGCATTATAGTCTCTCTGATGAAGAGACGTTGACCCCATGTGCTAACCAGACCTTTCTTGTAGTGTTTTTATTTTTTCTAACTTCCAAGAGAGTAAGAGTATTTTTCAAGCAGAGTTTGGGTGTGTGATCAAGTAACAGGGATCTCATCTGTGCATGTTCTCACTCAAAGCTCCTTTCCTTTATATTTTAGCTAGCGCTGTGCTCAAAGGCTTGGGTGGCTGTGAGTCACCATTTTAAGTTTTATTTGCTTAAAGCTTTTTGTTTGTCTGATTTTTTGATATTAAATATAGTACTGCTGTGAATATAGTTTTAATAAATCTCTGTCCATGTGTCTGAAAATTAGGATATTTCTTCCAAAGTAACTTTTATTTGGCTAGTCCATTAGAAACCAAAGTAGCCTAATAGGAAAATTTCTTAGGAGGGTGTATTTGTCAGGGTTCTCCAGAAAAATATAATAATATAATATGTAATCATGTTATATTATATTATTATATAATCATAATTATTAGATTATCTTATGTGGTTGCAGAGGCTAAAAAGTCCTACATGAGCCATCTGCAATCTGGAAAGCCCAAAAAGCTAGCAGTTGCTTGTTCTGGGCCAGTGATGCAGCCCCAGTTTAAGACCAAAGATGTGCAAACCCCTAGAGACCTGCTGGTGGAAGCCCCCTCTCCTGGGCTGAGGAAGCTGACGCTTGTTGCACAGAGGACAACAGCAGAAACCCATCTGCTCAGGAAGGGGAGTCTGAGCAAGAGCCGGCTTCCTACTCCAGCCCGATTTGCTCCTTCTAGGATCCCAGACTGCTAGATGGTGCTAAGTACCTTTAGGGGATTTTCTTCTGTTTCCTGACCTACACGCCAGCGTCCTCTGGAAATGCCCTCACAGATATACCCAGAAGTACACTGGGTGCACTTTCTAGGCATCTCGTCAGTTCAATCGAGCTGGCACTCCAGTGAGCCACTGCAGAAAAGAATTAAGAGGCTTAACATTACAACGATGGTAAAAATGCTCAGTACATATTCCAGAAAATATGTATACATCAAAAGCTTTTATCATCTCCGTGTGAGTCTAAGTGATGATTGCACCTCATCAATACTGACATGGAACAATCCTTTCTGCTTCCAGGAGACAGAGAAGTTTATACCAAATGTAATTCTGCTCTTTAAAACCACACAGAAAACGAGGAGATTGAGGTTGGTGCTGGAGAGACCTACAGAGTCATTCTACGGCAAAACTCAGAGGCAGTGAAATACCATAAAATCCAAAATATGCTATTTATAGGCAAAGCAGAGGAGGTTCACTGTATTTGTGCAGGAAACTTTGTTAGGGTCGTCAGAGGAATGGATGTATGGAAGGAACTCACTGATGTCACTGACCACAGTCAGTAAGTCTAAGAAGAGAAGAGCCCTGTTCTGAGGGAGAGCTAACTCCAAGTCTTCATGGGCAGAATCAGACAAATGCCTGAACTGTGCATTTTTTGCCTGGCTGTTTCCCCTTCCCAGGTTAACAGCTGTGTGGCTCAGGTCCGACCAGTGAAATGGGGAAGTTAGCAGCATGACGTTGCCCTTTTTCTCTGCCTGGAAGTGACACTTATGGTACAATTTGTGTACCTCTGTGCACTTAGAAATGGCCTGATGTACACCACTTGTGTACTGGCTTTTGTCTTCTGTCTTGGTATTTTTCCATTTTACTTCCTGTTTTCCGGGAACTGCACTTTGTAAAACACTTCTGTGCAGAATGATGATGTCAGTGTTTTTTTCCCTTTCAGAGCTTCAAACACTGCATTCCAGGCTTTCCTTACCTTTCAGTTTTTTGTTCAAAAGTCTACTATAATTCTGATGAGTTTTACTTTATAGGTGGTTCCTTGCTTTGCTCTAGAAACCTTTGATGTTCTGTTCTTGTGTTGGATTCCTGGTATAGCATCGATGAGGTAGCATGGAGTGGGTTTTTTTGTTGTTTTCCTGATCATAGCTATACAGGGTTTTATATGCCTCACTCATCTGTGTTAAATTCTTTTTATGTGTCTGGAAAGTTTCCTGCTATTACTTTCTTCAACAGGTTTTTTTTAATGCCCTTTACGCTATCTGAGTTTTCATCAATTTCTTTTAGACTTCTTTGTGTCATCTAGTTGGATCAATTTTTCATGTACTTTTGTTGTTTTTAAGGTATTTCTCATTAATTGATCATTAGCTGCAACCCGTACATCTAGATATTACATTCTGTCTTCATACTGATTATTTCTGATGCCCATGCCACCCAAAATCTTTTGGATTTCTGCTGAGAATTTTTGTTGAGAGTTTTTGTTGAGAATTTTTGTATGGACTTCTTTTCTTTTCTATGCTGGGTATTAATGTATTCCATCTCTTTCTTTAGCTCCCTTGGATTATTAGTATCTTTTCTAGACTCACTGATCATTTGCTTCATTAGAGTCATGATCTAATCAGTTATAGCTTCTTTAAACTTGCCAAGCACCATATTGAGCTATTTTATCGCCAGAGATACCCTTGCAGAGCTTTCTGCTGTGTGGCCTATGACTTCCAACCTTGAACTGGTTTGGTGGTAGTTGGGAGTTATGGAGACATTTTGTTGCCTTATCTTTCCATGTTTCTATGTTTTGGCTTGTTTGTTTGTTTGCTTTTTGTGGTGGGCTCTGCAGCTTCTTTGGCCCAATGCCTCATTGTTTGAGAATGAGCCACACTGTTGTTTGTGACCCCCCAGGCAATCCAGATATTGGCAAGCAGAGAAAATCAGTTGAGGGCAACAACTATGTCACCTGGGCTGGTACCATGAGCAATGACAATGGAGTCAAATACCAGCTGCTTATGGATAGACCCTAAGAACCACTCAGGAAGTCCCCT